TTTCACGCAGAGCTCTCGATTTGTCAAGTATGACTTGAAACAACGAATTAAGCCCTGTGACACACCAAGCTTATCCAGTTTAGCTAACACGATAGCATGATCAACTCGATCAAAAGCGGCCTTTAAATCCGTGTAGTTGACATCTGTTTGTGCTCCTGTTTCCATATTCCGAAGACAAGGGGATACGTAGAAACCATGCTGGTCCGGAGAAATATAGCTACAACAGCTTTCAAATAAGGCGTTATTTCCGATTATTTCGAATACTTTAGAGCAGGCACAGAGCGAAGTGATTCCGCGATAGTTTTCAATGTTCTTGAAAACAGGGATCATAAAGGAGGATTTTCACCTCCTACGGAATTCACCTTGCTGCAGTGAGTTGAACATTGTTGTTAATGACATGGTAATTCGGAAGATTATTTCTTCCGGATACAAGCGGTGATCCCACCATGACCAGTGGCAGTCGAATGCTTCATCTTGTTAATGGCAGACTCGACTAGCTCCTCGGATATCGCGAAGATGTCGAAATGTAGCAGATGTTCTAGGTTCTCCAAATCGTTCTGGAATCCGCGACAAGATCAACCAAGGTTCAGGCAATGTCAGTTGCACCACAGTATGTGTATATATATATATATATTACATTTATCTATGCGAATCACACATGCCCCACTGTGATGAATATAATTTGTTCTAATTAGTTCAAAATGGTTTCGATTTTATTTTTAATATTCAAGAAAATTGGGAAATTTTGTGATTCAGCTTCTTTGGATTTTATATTTTACGGCCAACTGTTTCATCTTCTCTGTCAAAAATACTCATATTATAGAATTTGAAAAGGTATTTCGAAAACAGGAAATCCTCATTTTACATATAAAATGATGTTTTCCATTGACCATACATTTTGGTAGTTTTTGAAAACAGTTATCGAATTTTTTACTTTTTGCGCAGAGGGTGGACTTTAGCAAATTTTCAATTAATTATTAGAATTCTTTTTTGACTAGACAAGAAAAAATACAGTTTGTTTGGATTTTTGTGATTCAAGAAATAAGAATTTGAAAAATGGTAGACATTCTACTTAATTTCCTCAAACTTCGTACAAACTCTTCCAATCAAGCTCAACATTGTACTAATAAATTTTGATTATTTGATTCACCGGTTGCCAATACTCTATGATGATGTAAATATTCAAATGCTTCAGCCCTATATAATATATGTTGGATTGACAATAAAATTACGGTGTAAACTTTATTATTGCCAGTACTGTATCTCTTAAGTGATCATCGATGATGAACGAATGATTTTAGTGTATTTTAAGAACTTTTACCAATTGCATGTGTTTAAAATTTTGCAAAATTCAAGGTTAAAAATTCTTTGATAATATTGATACCATAATTTATTTTTGACATGCTTCATGCTTCAAATCATGCTTCGAAAAAGACCAATTTACCATACATGCAATTGGATTTTTCTTAGGCTCATATTAGAACATGATAATGTGGCTTCCAAACACACATGATGTAGAATTCCTCTGATGCTTAGGGGCGTTTACACTTATGCTAGTTCACTAGCTGAGCTAGCACCAATTTCAGTTGTTCCTGAAGTATCATGCTGGTAGACGCTGACGCTCTGTTTACATTATGCGAGCTACTTTTTAGTACAGTTCTAGTACATTAGCGCTAGCAAATGAGCGCATATGTCACCACATTAAAATTTGGAAGAAGCATGCCTTATTTTTTTTTAAGTTACTTTAACACTCTAGGGTCATTCGTGACTGGTCCGAGGATGAGGTTTGAACTCGTGACTTAGGCGCGAGCAGTGTTGGGAAAATATCAAAAAATCAAATCTCACCAACGCCCAAGATCACGCTTGATTTTCGATGACAAAAACCAACAAGTAAACATTTGCAGTTGATTTAGCAAGCTGTGATATCGCAGCTCAGAATATCAATCTAACAAAACTCACCAACTGCAAATCTCACCAAACTGTGGTGAGATTGAGTTTAATGATTTTTGCATTACACCCGAATACAACCGAAACTTCCATAACGGCTTGCACCAATCCCTTCGCGTCTGCCATCGGTGAAGATTAAAAAGAGATAGAAAACTATGCTTTCTCTTTCTGAGAAAACGATGTGCAATGGAATCATTTTTGTGACGAGTCAACGCTCAGCTTGATGTTTGCACGTTGTGAATAGTCTCGCAATATCAAAGGAGCGTGTAAAATCAATATCAAGCATGAAATTTTGTGAGCCTATGAGAGCGAAAAAATATCAATTGATTGTTGATTTTGCCAACACTGGGCGCGAGAGGTATGCATGTTAATCACTACACCGGGGCCGTCCCCGAAGAGCCATGCTTTATATATTAATTTTCAGTAGCGTATATTCATCCATTCCATAACAAAACGAAAGAATGGTTATCAGAATTTCGTAAAAATTGATGGTGTTGTTCTTTATCGCAAAATATTAGACGCGTTTTTTTTTTTATTATTTTGTCATTAGGGTGGCCCAAAAAATCGATTAATTTCAAAAACGAATATTTCCAAAAAAAATATAACTTTTGAACCACATTTTTTTATTTTAAAGATCAAAATACCAAATGAAACGTAATTAAAAATACTTTTTATGGAAAATTATATTGGTATTGGAAAAAATGGGATTATGTATTGAAAAATATTTATTGTATTTGTGTTTTTTTATGGATTGTAGACGAAATTTGTTTTTATATATTTCCTTTTTTTTTGGTTTGTTTTTCGTCGACCTTGTTTTCCGTGCTGAGCACCAATGCTACCGACGCATGTTTATTTCAACAACACATAATCTGGGTGAAAAATTTTAGCGTGTTCTTTTTTTCCTTCTTGCTTACATTTGGCAAACTCAACCGAAAACGGCATGCAACGAAACTACGTCGTTTCTGATGCCAATCCCCATATCATCCTCACCCCCACCCGACGGTGAAAGTAAAACAGATCATCCCCAACACCAAACGTAGAAAGAGGCCGGTATGAGGACCAGCGTCAGAAACGACAAAACGACGCTAATATCACAAAGTTTCACGGGTTTGTCTGAACTTGAACCCCCGGACACCCACCCCGACGGCCCCCCGAATCCAAACACCCACAGACCTTCCTTAATCGCAGGAATTTAGATACCCTGTCTGCAGATTTCCATTTATTTGTTATCCAAAACGAAGAAAAAAAGCATTGCTGATCTTTTGATACGTTGAGAAAAAAACCTTAATTTTCAAGGAGATATATAAAACATATCGCGCCCTCTGTTGACAACCCATGAAAACCTTTAAAACAAATACGATCAATGTTTTCCAAACAAAATTCAACTTTTTTAAACATTATTATATTTTTACTAAAAAGTATTCCTAATTACCTTTTATTTGGTATCTTATTCTTTGAAATCAGCCAAATTAGTTATGATTTTTAGAAAAAAAGTCATTTTTGAAAAAAAAAAAAGATTTATGGACCAATTTAACATGGAAATGGTCACCCTAATGACAAAATAAAAATACGGGTCAAATATTTTGCTATTATGAACAAAACTACCAAGTTCAACGAAATTCTGAGAACTGTTTTACTTTTTTTTATTATAGTCATTTTAATGCTCATGGGTCATTTGTGACTTGTTCTGGGTTAGATTTGAACTCGTGACTTTGGCGTAAGAGGTATGGATGCTAATAACTACGCCGGGGTTGCCCCCAACTGTTTTACTATGGAATGCTTGTATTAGAAGATAGAATATATATTAGAAGAGCAGATCATTTTACGTTTCATTCAGGTTTTCAAACAGTTTTCTGTAAGTAAATGCGCTGTTTCATAATATTGTTTTACCAATTTTATATTTGAAACAGGCCCAAATTTTATGTTAGAAATTAATAATACGTTTTATGCCATCTCTTGAATACGAAAAATTTCACATTTACTGAGCGAGGGGTATTGGTATTTGATTGAAATAGTAACGTAGGGCCTATAGGGCCTTCCTTAGCTCAGTCGGTAAAGGCGCAGCTACAAAGCAAGACCATGCTGGAGGTGGCTCGGTTCGATTCCCGGTCCGGTCTAGGAATTTTTCGGGTTAGAAAATTTCTCGACCTCCCTGGGCATAGAAGTATGATTGGACTTGCCACACAATTATACCAATGCAAAAATGGTACAGGCATCGAAAGCTCTCAATTAATAACTGTGGAAGTGCATCTAGAACACTAAGTTGAGAGTACGCAATAAGCTAATATGCGATATGCAATAAGCTTGAAATGCGAAGAAGAAGAAGAAGAAGTAACGTAAATTTATTGGTAAATTCTCTATGAAAGCTTCTCCTTCTCCTCGTGAAACTATATTTCTTATAACCTTTAATTTCAAACGACCTTGGCTGGGGTTAAAACCTTGCCGACATTATTGCAAAAGGCTCGTGACAAACCTTATTAATCTAGGACAGGGCACGCACACTTGTTTGAAATGCAAATCAGCTCCTACAAACGTTCATCAAAGGCTCTCACCACATCCGCTCCCTAGAAGGAAGAAGATAAACATGTCGATTGAATTCCCCATTAATCAACAACCTTGCTGTTCCTATTGTAATTGCCTCAACGCAGAGCACCTAAATCAGCTGCTCTGCCCCAATCGTCCCGTTCTCCTAGACCAAGGCAAATAATCACAGGTGGGCTGGATCTCACGGTCCGCTAGTGTTGGTGAGTAATTTGCTGTTAATGTTCATGAAAAGTTCACTACTATGCCATTTTTCCTACGCAAGTGATCAATCTTTGATGTAAATTTCGTGAATCATCGTGGTTATAGCAAAACTTGCCATATACAATCGCCATAATTCATTTTAGCCAAAAAACTAACACTTCTTCCTGCTGTGGCACCTTTGATTATCCGCCTTGCTCCTAGACAGTAATCCACTGGTTCACCGCATCGTCTCGCTCATCGAATTCAAAGGTTCAATTGGACACCAATTGTTGGTAGGTTAGTACTCCCCCCACCCCTCGTATATTTACCCTCCGAGGCGAACCCTCCGAGCATATCGTTCTCCTGGATGTGATTGATGATGTAGCTGTCCCGGTTGAAGCCATTGCCGAGGCCAGCTTTTCCGGTACCATCGTGGTTTCCTTTGCCGTGGGTTTGATGATGCTGCTTCCGGCGGGGCTGCTTCGGCGTCGGTGGCACGTACGGCGTCGGAGTCGTGGTCGGTTTCGGTGGTAACCGGAGCTCTGCACGATGCGGCCATGGCGGGAGAAGAGAAGCGGAGCGGAGAGCAAAATTATTAAAACAAATTTACAAGCAATTAATTTAACGATCGCACCTAGGAGTGGACCTACATTAGTTGGAGTGGAGCTGATCAAAAATGAATCAATCAATTCAGGAAGTGTGGATGAAAAGCCAGGATATCAAATCAAGGGTGCAGAAAGGATAATGGGCGGATAAAAGGGGGGAAAAGTCCGGCGCATTTAGGGTAATCACTCGGCCGTAGTAATTTTCCATCAATTTAACTGTCACTCCCATCATTCGGGAAAGCTTCATGTGACGACCGGTTCTGTAACCTTTTTGAATCTTTTCTCATTTTTTTTACACTGGGAAAATAAATGCATGGAATGATGATGATGATTTATAAAAGCCAGCAAGGGATGGTCCTGATAGTGACCCCTGAGTTTCGTAACGGAACTATTTTTTTCGGATTCAGTATTCCGAAATTTGATGAAATCCCAATTATGAGCGATGATAGCCAGGAGGGGCTTTGAAGGGTCAAATTGGTTATACATTTTTTTATGTTTTTAAACTTCATTGTATTCATGAAATATGTATGCCTCCAAAGTGCTTGTGATGAACAGTCATAACAATGAAATGTATTTTAATTTACCTATGCAAACAGCCTCTGTTCAGGCACCAGTAATTTACTGTCACAAATATGTTCATACCGGGTTTGATCTCCTAATGACACCTCTGTAATTTTCAAAAGCAAAATACAAAGCATTTGATTGTTATGAGTGTTCGTCACAAGCATTTCGGGGGCAGTAATATTTCATGAAATTTAGATTAATTATGAATATAGGACCAATATGACTCGTCAGAGCCCCACCTGGCTACATATCTGCTCCATCGCCGTTCATGTTTAGGATTTCGTCATATTTTGTCATGTTGAACCAGCAAACAATAGTCCCGTTTTAAAACTCGAGCGTCACTATGGTAACCTTTCCTCTTTAGTATTTTAAGCGACATTGATGAAAGGTATTACCAATAAAAACTCCGTCTTTTAAGTAAGCAGCGCCCACTTACCTTGCAACCGAATCCGGGCGTCCGCTTTCCCCAAGGCGTTGATGCTGGAGCACACGTACGGTGCGAAGTCCACCTTCTGGAGGTTCTTTATTGTCAGGTTAAGCTGCCAGGTGAACAGGTTGAGCTTCTCCTCGCTGATAACGTACTTCTCTCCCTCGTAAAGCTTGACTCCTGCAAATGTGGTTGGTTGACAAACGAATAGCTGTTAGTAAATGCTAACGTTCCTTGTGAGGCAAATGTGTGCATGGTCATGTTTTGAACCCGGGATCGTTCGGCTTTAAATTGCCTGTAACGAATTAATCTTGGCTTCTCTAGCTGAAGCTGAACAAGCTGCGGTGACGACGGTGGCTGATGTTGGTCGGTAGAAATATCCACCCACAACTGGAAGCAGCAAGCCGAAAACTGGAACCCTTAACAGCAGACGGTGCGCGTGTTTATTTCGATTAAGGTTGTTGGCATCAGAGATTCTTAATCTCCGTTTGTGGAGGAGGAAAACTGTTTGAAAAGAATTGGTATGAGCTGCCGCAACCGAGATCCATTTGATTTGGGGGAAAAGTGTAGTAGCCCAACTGAGAGACCATGAGCGTTTGCACTTTAATGGAAAAGGGGCCGTTTTGGAGGTATTATTTTTGCATCATACAGTGGACCAAAATTGACAAAAGGTTATAGATACCGAATTTTACAAACTAATTGGGTCATCGCAGAAGCTATAACACATGATTTTGTATTGATATTGCTATACAGTGCTTTCCCAATTTTGCCAGCCCCTTCTCAAATTTTAACCTGACAAAATCGGGAAAAAAATTCGCATTATTTTTGTGATTAAAATTATTACAGAATAATGAAATTACGAAATAGGCTACGGGGCTCTATGGGATAATATGACCAACAACGCTTATTTACATGTTTTGCAAAACAAATTCAATGGAGTTTCACCCATAATCACTAGAAGAGCTGTAGAATAAAGTCTGTTCCAGTTAGTATTAGGCCCCTTCTTTTTAATGACTGTAGCGCCTCTAGTTGTCGAAGCAAGAAACTATTAATTACAGCGTTTTGATCCGGAAGGATTATTTATTTAGTAGCGAAAATTTCATCAGGATTCGTATACTTGTTCAAAAGTTATCGAAAATAGAACGTGACAGATGTGAAAAAATTCTGCACACTCACATTTTGATGGACGATGAAACTTACGTAAAAATGGACTTTGCTAAACGTAAGGAGGATGCTCCGGATAAATTCAAATTTGTCTTTGCAGATAAATAAATGCAGGCGCAAGTTAATGATTTGGCAAGGCATCTGCAGCTGCGGAAAGAAAACAAAGGTTTTCATCACTGGAGCGACTATGAATGGACAACTTTACAAGGAGGAGTGTCTCCAGAACATAATTTAGCCGTTCATTCAATCACACGAAGGTCCCGTAAAGTTCTGGCCTGACTTAGAATGGTATAAACAGAATAATATCGATTTTATTGAGAAAAGTATCAATCCTCCAAATTGTCCAGATTTTCGTCCAAATTAAAGAAATGTGGCAAAACAATCAAAACACCATCTGATTTGGAGAAGTGGTGGAAAATGATACTACTATGCAAGACATGATGAGAGGTATTCCTCGAACAGTTCTAAAATTCATCCAAAAAGCTGACGAATATTTTTTTTTGTATTTTGTATAAAAATTCTACAAAATGATACCTTTAGCGTTTTGTATACTTTACTAGCTGAGTGTGCCCGGTCTTGCTCGGGATTCAATATTAGCTTGAGTTTATGCGCCGATTTAAAAAAAAAGCATGCTATATTGTACGTAGCCCCCTCCTCCCTATTATCTATCTTACCCCCTATGATTATCTCCTTATACCCCCACACTCGCCCCCACATGCCTAATTTGGTTCCATTTGCTTGATTAGTTCTCGAGTTATGCAGAAATTTCTGTTTCATTTGTATGGGAGTCCCTCCTTACAGAAGGGGGAGGGTCTCGAACCATCATAAGAACCTTCCACGGCCCCAAAAACCCCTGTATACAAATTTTCACGCCAATCGGTTCAGTAGTTTCCGAGTCTATAAGGGTCAGACAGACAGACAGACAGACATACAGACAGAAATTCATTTTTATATATATATTTTTTTTTTTTTTTTTGTTGGGTACATTACCACTGCGACCATTTATTTGATCTATTGTAGTATATTCCCCGGTTTTTTGTTAACCTTATTAGGGTGAAAAACTACTATTAGAAGTAACCATCAACGCCTAACTTTAGGTATATTCCCAGCAAGGAATTATGTGTCGTATGAAACGCACTACCTTACTAGGAGATGAACACCATATTTCAAAGGGCTGTAGTAGTCCCTTATCAAAGAACTTTTCCCTTCTGTTAAGAAGTGCTGCACAGTTGCACAATAAATGTTCGGAGGTTTCTGTTTCCTCGTTACAAAACCGACAAATATCATCATCAACTTTTTTAATTAGTCTTAGATGATATTTGGCTGGACAGTGCCCTGTAATTAGTCCTATGTAAGTACATAGGTCTTTCTTTGAGAGGCTAAGGAGTTTTTGGGTGTTTGATGCATTTGGCATCACAAACTTTCTTGATTGTCGGGCTGTGACAGTATTATTCCAATTACAATCTATCATCATCTTTTTCCAGTTCCTTAATTCCATCTTGATGGAGCTTGGAGAGACCCCACAGAATGGTTCAGGTCCTAGAAATTGTTTAGATGATCCTTGCCTGGCTAGTTCATCAGCCTTTTCATTACCTTCTACTCCACAGTGTCCTGGCACCCAGTAGAGATTTACTGTATTGTTATTAGACAACTGTTGAAGTAACTGAATGCATTCCCATACTAACTTGGAAGTACATGTAAATGATTTTAAAGCATTCAAAGCTGCTTGGCTATCAGAAAAGATGCATAGATTTGCATGTTTATATTTTCGCTTTAAACACACAATAGTGCATTCTAATATGGCTTGAATTTCAGCCTGAAAAACGGTTGGCCATCCACCCATGGAAACTGAAATATTAACACCAGGACCTGTCACACCAGCTCCCACTTTATCATTTTGTTTTGATCCATCAGTAAAGAATACAACTGATCCTGGGCGGATTTGTGGTCCTCCCGCACTCCAGAGAGAGCGGTCTGGTTGTACCACATTGAACAGTCGACTAAAATTGAATTTTGTCTCCATCCAATCATTACTGACTGTAACTAATGGATTGATTCAAATTAGTTTTAATATATGTAAGTGTCCCTTAATGTTCCCTTCAAACAAGGTTTTAGTTCGCTTAAGTCTTAGTGCGCTCTTTTCAGCATCTAATTGCACAAATTGGTGTAGTGGAAGAAGATTTAGTATCGCATCTAAGGCTTTCGTAGGTGTGCTACGCATCGCACCTGTTGTAGATACCGTAGCCAGTCGTTGCAACTTTTCTAGTTTGTTTATTGCACACTTTTCCTTAGTTTTTGGCCACCATACTAATGAGGCATATGTAATTCTGGGTCGTATTATAGCCGTGTATATCCAATGGATCATTGCTGGCCTCAGTCCCCATTTATTTCCAAAGGTTCTTTTACTTATCCATAGTGCATTTGTTGCTTTACCTATGATTTGGTTTAAGTGTTGGTTCCAGTTAAGTTTATAATCAATTGTAACTCCTAGATATTTGACTTCAAGTGAAAGTTTCATTGATGTCCTTTCCATGTGAAGACCAGTTATTTTTATGTTTCTTCTTTTTGTGAAAGGGATAATATGTGTTTTTTGAGGATTTATGCTCAATCCTTCTGACTTGCACCAAGCAATGGTGTAATTTATGGCTTGTTGCATCCTGTTTGTAATAACATCGTCATATTTTCCCCGAACAATTATTACAATATCATCTGCAAACCCAATTATTTCAAAACCCTGTGATTCTAGATTTGTTAGTAAATCGTCTACTACTAATGACCACAGAAGTGGAGACAAAACACCCCCTTGTGGGCAACCTTTAACAGCTCTTACTGAAATATTTGAGCTACCGAGCTCAGCCGAAATTTCACGTTTTGAAAGCATTTCACTAATCCAGCTTATGATACGTATGTCAAAGCCACGCTTTGACATTGTCTTTGCCATAGAAGTGTGTGATGCGTTGTCAAACGCTCCCTCAATATCGAGAAATGTTGCAAGCAAAATTTCTTTTGCTTCAAACGATTTTTCTATTTTTGAAACAAGTGTGTGTAACGCTGTTATAGTTGATTTTCCTGATTGATAAGCAAATTGATGGCTGCTCAAAGGATTACTTTTCAAAAATTTTGATTTTATGTGTTGATCTATAAGCTTTTCCATGATTTTTAGCATTATGGATGATAAGCTTATTGGTCTAAACGATTTAGGTGAAGTTTTATCTTTCTTGTTAGCTTTCGGAATAAATACAACACGTACTTTTCGCCATGATGATGGTATATACCCAAGCATAAGACTTGCTTTAAACATATTAGTAAGAGATGAAGTAAGTATCCCATTACTTTTTTGAAGAAAGGCAGGAAATATTCCATCCCTGCCAGGAGATTTGAATGGTTCAAATGCATTTATGGCCCATTCTACCTTAGAACTAGTAAACATTTCATCAGCTATGTTTTTTCCATCATATGTAGATGTTAATAAACTAGCATTGGACCTATTTGTGTTAGATTCATCCTGAACATTTATCTTGTGTTTGATTTGATCAGTATTGTCCTGTAAGGTTGGTAAATTGTTTTTGCTTATAAGTACTGAACATGGGAAATGTGTTTGCATCATTACTTCCAGTGTTTCAGTTCCATCGGAAGTAAAGCAATTGTTTTCCTTTTTGAGAGTTCCTAAACCATTTGAATGATCTTTGGAAAGGACTTTTTGCAGTCTTGCAACTACAGGAGTGTTTTCAATGTTTTCACATGTACGCCTCCAGTCCATTCTTTTTGATCTTCTTATTTCTTTATTATATTCGGTTAGGGCACTTCTATATTGATCCCATTGCATTGTATTTTTTGCTTTATTGAACAGTTTTCGTGCTTTCTTTCTTAGTTTTTGTAAGCGTTTGTTCCACCAAGATACGTCTCTGTCATTTGAACGCTCAGTAACTGGACAACTAGCATAAAAAGCCTGTTGAATTAAGTTTGATACTTGCACCGAAGCATCTTCTAGTTCCTGAATTGTAGTAAAGCTACCT